TTTATTGGATTTTTCTCCAGTATGTATTTTCTCATGTAAATAAAGGCTTCCTCTCTGGCTGGAGGCTTTCCCACATTGATTATATTTATAGGATTTCTCTCCAGTATGAATTTTAAGATTTATTGTAAGGTATCTCCTCTTTTTGGATGCTTTCCCACATTCAGGACATTTGTATGATTTTATCTGGTATGAATTCTTTCATGTACAGTAAGGTATGAGTTTTAATTGAAGGTTTTCCCACATTGGTTACACTGATAGGATTTCTCTTTAGTCTGATTTCTTTAATGTCCTCAGTTACAGCTGAAGATTTTTTCGCCTTCATGACATTGATAGTATTTCTCTAACTGTATGAATTCTCTGATGTATAATAAGGTGTTCCATCTGCCTTGTCAGCTGTACTGGAACCAGTCTCTAACTTGTGGATGGCCAGAGCTGAATAAAGCAGACCAGAGACAGGAGAGTCAGGAATCAAACAGAAGTTTAATTTCAAAGTGAGGAAAACACTTGCTAGCAGAAGTCCTTCTGAGAAGGAGGCCTTATAGTTTATGGCAAGGATAGGAATTTTAAGCATGAAAACTAAAAAAAGGCAGGGCCCAACACTGTTATTCTTAGGTCTTGAGTAAACAGTTCCCACAGTTGGCATTTTTTAGGACAATACAGGTGTTCCTGGGTCCTATGGGAACAGTCTCTAAGTTATTAAAATTGTTGAGCCTTGTGATTGTCTCAAGTCTTAAGACTCATTGAGCTTTGTGATCATTCAGCAGGGTACAGAACCATGGCAGGAACAGGAGTACAGCTCTTGGTTCAGTTTACTTATTTACAGGCACAGGGATTGTTCAGAGGGTCAGAAAATGGCATTGATCACTTTTTGCTGTAGTATGGTGGCTATAGTTCCAACTCTCAGGTCAAGATCCCCAGGGAAACAAGGAAGTTATAAGTCCCAATTCTGGTGTGTGCTGAGATCATCCAGAGGGTGAGCGCAAAGGACTGCTGTTATGCCAAGTTCAGGGCACAGCCTGCTTGCTGGGCCTCAGCTCTGGAAAATAGAGTGTCTGCTAATATCTTGATAGCCTGAAGGTTTCACCACATCTATCAGGATTCATGCATGTCTTTTTATGGATGATTCTCCCACACAGTTACTTTCCTCTAGAGTTGAGTCCTTGGTTTCACATAATATTTTCCTGATAAAGGGGGCTTGGCAGACTTGGACTGGCCAGACACCCCCCAAGTGAGGTTCCTCAGAGCCACCTCCACCTTGTCCTTAGCCTGGGACAACCTGAGCCCCCACCCCTCTGCCATCTTCCACCCCCACAACCTCCCCCCCACACACACACACAAATATGCCATGCTCCCCAGGGCTCCAAGGCTGGCTGGCTGTGCTGCCAGCCTGAGCAGGAGGGCCCAGAGGGCAATGGGGCAGGGGCAGGGGCCGGGCATCTCATGGAGAGGACAGAGCTGGGGTCGCCTACACAGAGCCCCCATGTACTTATTTTTGAAAAATACTTCACATCTATTTTACTATATAGTTGGTTTCTTTGTAATTCTGTGTATTTTATTTTGTACATTTAAAATATTATTCCGAGTAGGAGTACAAAGGTTTCACCAGACTTCCAAAGGGGCCCATGACACAAAGAAAGATTAAAAACTCCTGATATAAGACTTCCCATGCATCTTGGAATTGTTTATATTCATTGTTCTTTACATGCAGTGATATTCCATTTCGTTTGTGTACCACAACTTTTTAGCCATTCCTCAATCATTGATCATCGTCTTTGTTTCCAGTTCTTAGCTACCACAGAAAGTCTTTCTAAGAGTATTTTGATTTTGATTTTTTGACTTTACCTTCTTAGATGTGTGTGTGTGTGTGTGTGTGTGTGTGTGTGTGTGTGTGTGTTTGGGTGGGTGGGTGGGTTTCAGTCACTATGCTAAATGCCAGGTATACAACAGAAGGCAAAAACAAACCCTTTCCTCAAGGAGTGTGCAATCTAATGGAGCAGACATGTGAACAATGAGATGTGGAAAAATATATGCAGAGTAGATGGAAGGTAATCTGAAAGGGGAAGGCACTAGTAGCAAGGGGGACTGGGACAGACAGTCAGACTTGAGCTGCATCCTAATGAAAACCAAGGAAGTCCAAGAGGTGGAGGTGAAAAGGTATAGCATTTCAGGCACAGGGGGCAACCATTGCAAAGGTACAGAAGTGAGAGTTGGACTACAATATTCAAGGAGCTACAAGTGGCCCATGTAGCTGGATTGTATAGTACATAGAGGAGAATCAAGTGTAAGAAGAATAGTAGGAAGGTGTCAGGCTATTAACAACTTTAAATGCCAAGGAAAGAAACTTATGTTTAATTTTGAGGTAATAGGGAGCCACTGGAGGTCATTCAAGGTGGGGAAGGGTATTGGTAGCATAGTCATACTTAAGCTTTTGAAAGCTGGCAGATGATAGATTGGCATGGAAGGCCATGAGACCGATTCAGCTACTGTAACAGTTCAGGCAAGACGTCAGCTAGAGTGGTGGCTATGTGAGTATGAGAGATGTAAAGGTAAAGCAATAATATCTGGCAACAGATCAGATTTCTTAGCATGATTCTAAAATTGCTTTCTAGAATGGTTGGACCAATTCATGGTTCCATCAACAGTGGAACAGTTGTCTTTATGTAGCCCCTCCATCATTGACTTTATGCTTCTCTTGTCTTTGCCTTTTTCTTAAATATGAGATAAAACCTCAGAATTATTTTGATTTGTGCTCCTCTTATCACAGATGGTTTAGAACCTGAAAGAAAATGATGAAAAATGTGGGAATGAAGAGGAAATACCACTTCCAGACCTCAAATTACATTAAAAAGCCATACTCATCAAAATTATTTGGTAATAAGAAGGCATAGAGGAGCCTGCCTCTCCCACATAAACTCAAGCAATCTAAAATGGCACTAGACAGGGCAGTTATCCAGTAAACCAAACTCCTCCATTCCAGTCTAGAACTGAACTGCCAAAAACCAGCAGGACCATGACTTTGGCCTGTTGGAACAGAAGTGACCAACAGAGCCAGACTCCAAAGGTCACTTACACAGAGAGACACTGTCTGACTGTGCATTCCTAGGATTCATAGCAGGAGACAATTCCAACTCAGTTGCAGGATGTATGTCAGGAGGGGCTTGCAGGGGTCTTGAGACCAGTGTGATGTGCAGAATCCAATTGAGTTTTGGCAGGATCACAGGAGGAGAAGAAACCAAGTCCCTACTCAAGATGATGTTAGGAGGAAATGGAAATGGAAATGGAAATGGAAATGGATTGAATCCGACACTCAAATTTGACCACCAATAGAATAAGACAAAGGGATTGAAGTATACAGTGGAAACTTAATGTCAGCCATCCATCCAAAACAACAGTAGGTGTTAGCCTGCAGAGAAGACAGGACAAAACAGGGCCTACCCTATCTATCCAAGAGCCAGTGGAGGTGGTAGGGGTGGGGAGAGAGAGATGAGACCCTTGTCCAAAGTCCTAATCGAGGCCAGAAATCTATAAGTAAGAGTAAGCAAAAGAAAATTCCAAATTCCATGAAGAAATGTTGTGGATTAAGAAAAATCCAAGAGATAAACTCAGAAGGACACAGTCACTCCACAACAGCTATAAGCGGTGACTCAGGGGGAAAATGTCTTGTGCGAAAGAATTAGGGTGGCTAGAAGAAATGAAGCCAGAGAATCGAAAGGACAAATGAGAGTAAACACTTAAAATTTATGATGGAGAATCAGACAGTAGAGGTGGAAGAAAATTTGACAGAAGAGAAAGAAAAGATTACAACACTGAAAGAACACATGAATTCTGTGTAAATTATAACAACTGACCTTGGGGTTGGGATGTCTGGAATTACTCTAAGGTCCATAGGTCTGCTAGGACAACACTGTGAAATAAGGAGGGGTAGGGAAGGGAATAAGCTTTTATGTAGAGCCTACTTATGCTCAGCACTGTGCTAAGTGCTTTTTGCCAGTATTGTCCTATTTGATCCTCACAACAACCTTGCAAGTTTGGTACTGTTATCCCCATTTTACAGTTGAGGAAACTGGGGCCAATAGAAGTTAAGTGACTTTCCCAGGGTCAGCCATAAACCAGAAGACTTACTTCATGGGCATGGGTCTAGTACTAGAGAGGATAACTTCAGATGTAAGGTCTTCTGAGAGGAGCTGGATTAAATGGTTAATAAGAGAATGTCAATTCCATTGGCAAAATGGGAAGGGAGGGCAGAACATGATAGGGCCTGTATGGGGTTCGGGGCAGGGGAAGTAGGGAAAGAGTCACTTAGGCAGCCTTCCTCTCTGAATTATAGGAATTTGAAGAAAAGAGAAGAGGGAGTTTGCTAACCATTGGACTTGTCTTTTTCTTAGTCTTCCCAGTAACCTAAAGCCCAGGCTAGGGGATGATAGTAGTTTTCTCACTCACTCCAATGACTGGAGCTCTCTGGCATCTGGGCCTATGATGGTTGGGTCTCTCCTAACTCCAATTCTAGCGCCATTTACATTTGATTATACTTCCCCTTTTACTTGATATCACCTAAGTAAATATGTGGCCGGGAAAGGAAAGACAGTATTTTTTATGCCAGCCCACATTCACTAGGAATGTCTTTTTATTGCATCAATGCCCATATTAGTATAATGTGCTGTTGTTAAATGATTTTAGGGGGGAAAATGATGGTTTGTATATAGTGAAAACATGACTGTGTTTGGACTGATATGTGTGTGTGTGTTAAATGTCCAACATTAGGACACTGAGTGCTGCTGAAGAGGCTGCTCCTTGATTAGGTCATGTCATTCAGGCATAGGTTAGTTGATATCTTCAGGTACAAAAAACCTCTCGTTTAGGGATCTTAGTTCATTATCCCATGGAAAATGTTGTAATAGGATGTGGAGAACATTGTAAAATATAAAATAAATTAGGATATGACTATGTACTACAGGGTAATAACATACATGATTCTCTCCTTTCTCTTCCCCATATTGTAGGGTGAGAAAGCAGAGAGCTTTTATATTGTGGAGTCTGGAGAAGTAAAAATCCTAATTAAAAGCAAGGTAAGTTTACATGTAATCTTATGTCATTTTACTGGAATTTTAAATAATGGTGGATCCAGTTTAGATGAGGCAGAAGTTAGTAATGCATATAATTTCAATTTTGCATTGTTTTCCAGAATTGTCAGTTTTATTATGATATATAAAAGTCACGTTCAGTGATCTTATTTTCACTATGCATATTTTGGTTGTATATTATTTTCCTTTCTTGAAATGAAAGGCAATCTCCAATAGAAAAATTTAGGCTTTGTATTTTTAAATGTATCTGAATACTTAGAGATGGGCAAACAGTGCATCCATACAATTAAATACGTTAAATATTATTGTATTTTAATCACTATCATGTGGATAAAGTTCCATGGCAGAGACTCCCATCAAAATAAACAAGTCTTTATAATAGCCATTTCCATCAATACAGCTTATAAGAGTGTTTACTTGTTCATTGTTCATTTCATATTACATATTTCCTTTTTAAAAGGTTCTTCAGGCATTTTTATTCTTTAAGGTGTTTTTATCCTGAATTTAACAAACGCCACATAAAATGAACATTATCATATACATAACAGGACAGAAAAAGAAGACTGAACGTAAAACTACAAATCTGTATTATATAGGCTTGCTTTTCTTCTAAAATATATAATAAATTTATCATATGTTACATGTTTTCCAAGTCTTCCATGACAGCCGAACTGGCCTTTGTTGTGGGAAAATCCTACAGCACATAGACAGTTTAGGGTACAGCCTAGTAAAAATTTTATTGATCTTACCAGGCATGGCAGGGAGAGGAAAATGTCAGTTAAGTGAGTACTCTCTAAAAGTCATTTTCAGCTTTACTTCCAGAAGAAAGTAAAAAGCAAGGGCAGTTATGGCTACTAAGTACAAGGGAGGTTTGGGTTTGTAACATCATATGTCTTAATTGGGCACTGTGAGAAGGATATTGGCATTGGTAAGAATATATTATGAAAGTCTTAATAAGAGACCTGGACAGGAGTAAAACCCAAACACAGAAAAGTGGACATATCTGCTCAGTTTACACCAAAATGGACGCTGGTTTAAAGATTAAATCACTCAAAACAAAAGAGGGAAAATATAGGGGTCTTCTCTTGTCATTTTTACTTTTCCCAATACATGACTTGCCCTCCTCATCTAAAAGCTTTTTAATTATCTTACCCCCTGCAAGGCCTTCCTTCTTCACCTCTACCTCTTTGTATTCTTGGTTTTTGTTAAGACTCAGCTCAGGCACCACCTTCTTCAGGAGACCGCTTTAGGTTCCCCGAGCTGCTGCTTCTTACCAAGATCACCTGCTCCCTGCTTTGTATTCATTTTGTGTATTCCTGTATGTGTACATGGTCTCCCTATATATAACATAAACTCCTTGAGAACATGGACTGTTCTGTTTTTATTTTTGTATACCTAGTGCTTAGCACAGTGCCTGGCATGTAGTAGGCATTTAATTAGTGCTTATTGATTGATTTATTAGAAAAATTAGTCCTATCATTTAGTGTTTTCTCTCGTTCCTGTCCCTCTTGACAGTCACTCCATAAAATAATTTGAGCATATACTGTTTACATAGTGTTAAGGGAGAAGGGAAAGCTCTCTCGAGCTAAAAACATTTAATGGTTCTTCAGATTCGTAATCACGTAACATTTACCTTTCAACAGTTACTTGACTTACATACTCGAACATTTTGGCCAGCCCCTGAAATACCTTTACTTCCAAAATGACCACCAAAATAATTACATATCATGTCAGATTAATTAAGTGTAATTGGGTAATGAGCTATTCTAGAAAAAAAAATTTTAATTTTCTAGCTAATTAAAAGTTTGACTCTTTGAGTGCTAACACTTTATTTGAGCCATTTTTTATGGACATCTCTCTAGAATTGCCATACTTCCCTGCCATTTTAAATAACATGTATAGAGCATAGTTTGACCCTTTCTTAACAACTCAAGTCATCATTGTGTACATAAAGTATTTCATAGAGTTTTAATATAGTTGTGTTCTCAGGAACTATTGAGGTGTATAGGGTTGTTCATTCTTATGCACTAAATAGCCACCAGACTAGTAAGCACTTATGGTTCTTGTCTCCTTTTTATAATTAATATGTCTTTTCTTTCACTATCAACTGTACATTTTCAGGGGAATATGAGTAGCATAGTGGGAAAGAATGTTGAATTTAGAGTTAGAAGACCTAGGTTTGAGGTCTGTCCCCTAGTACTTGCTAACTAGTTATGTGACTTCTCTGAACCTTCCAAGTATTTTTCATCTGTACAATAACATTTGCACTCTCTACTTCACAAGGCTCTTGTGAGGAAAGGGCTTTATAATGGGTAAGGTGGTAAAGAGATGTTAGTTGCTAATGTTATTACTGCTGTTAGTAAACCAACCCCTAGCAGGCCTCAGCCTTTTAATTTGTTGTTTCTGACCCACTATGATAGGAGAAACCAGCAAGCACAATCTTGCTAGAATTGTATCATAAAATAAAAATACATAGACTTCAAGTTATAGTTTTGTTGAACTCTCCTTTAAATAGAATGATGAGGATGCTTTACTGAATGAATTTTGGGTTGTTCAGTGCCTAACATAACATCCAGCACATAGTAGGAGATTAATAAATATTTATTGACTGGTTGTTTGCTCAGAGGCCTTTTTTATTTTATGACTTAGTCCCAAAAGGTTAGAATTGTGAGATAAATGGAATATGCGAAGTGTTACTGTAATGTCCTACATTCTGTGTGGTACTTAATGTTTTTCAAAATTCTTTCATATCCATTATTTTGTTCCATTCTCGCAACAGCCCTGTGATATAGGTACAATGAACAGATAAAGAAACACACAAAAATACCACAGAGCTAGAAATGGGAAGGAATAGCAGTGGTATGTGTATGATGTCTTCCTCTTTCTACTATTGGGTTGAAGGTACTTCTTGTCACTTGGTAAATTCACACAGGTTGAGGTCAGCTCAGTTTCATTCTGCCAACATATTTCTGTTTTTTGTTTTTGTTTTTGGCTAGGCAGTGGGGTTAAGTGACTTGCCTAGGGTCACAGAGCTAGTAATGTCAACATATTTCATATAATAAACCGCACCACAAAAGAGATCCTGTGTAGTTTGTCATAATGATATATCATCTATAGTACTCATTCAGACCTTTTGTGAGATCTGTTGCCATACACTGTTCATGGAAGTGACAATCACTTTAAAAGTTTAATAAATATGCAGAGAAAATCTATACCATCATACCAAAAAGGTAGATTTGTTACCATGAGTTAGTGCCTGATCAGAAAGTTATCTAGCTTTTATGCCAGAGGAGCTGGTAGCTTGTTGGGATCTCAATTTAAAACTATTGTTTATCTTATCAAAAATTTTGGTTAACAGTCATTTGTTCATTCATTCAACACTTACTGAGTACCAACTATATATGTGTTAAGTCATTTGTAGTGGACATAACCCCTGAGGTCAGCTTTCTACCTTCTACATCATAAAGACTTTCTCTTAAAATGCCAAGTGTCAGAGCAGAATTTCATTCACTTTGTCAACAGTATGAAGCACCTACTGTATGCCAGGCACTGTGCTAGATACTGGGGACACAAAAATAAAACCATCCGAGCCCTCCAGGAGCTTTTATTCTGTTAGAGGAAACGTGTACGTGTGGCTTGTCACAGAAGTCTTAGTGCACTTTTAAGTAATTCAAGGGGCTTCATCCTTTGTTTCTATCCCCACCAACCATCCTCTGAGGTGACCCGGGCTGTCTGACCCACTTTCTTATCCTTTGTCTCACATTTCTGGTTAAGATAGTTCCTTGTAGGGAAAGAGCCAACATGGTGGAATAAAGACAGGAACTGGCCTCAGCTCTCCCCCAAACCCCTCCAAATACCTTTAAAAAATGACTCTAAACAAATTCTAGAGCAGCAGAACCCACAAAAAGACAGAGTAAAACAAACTTCCAGCCCAAAACAACCTGGAAGGTTGACAGGAAAGGTCTGTTGCACCAGGCTGAGAGAGGAGCACAGGCTGAGCCAGCACAGCCCAGGCCCCAGCAAACCCAAAGAGGGCCTCAGGGGACTGAATCACTGGCAGCAATGGCAATTTCCAAACTTCTTAGCCCACAAATGCCAAAGACAACTTAGAAGGTCAGCAAGAAAGGTCTGTTAGGCCTGGGTGAGAGAGAAGCACAGTCCAACCCCGACCCAACACAGCCCCAGCACCTGCAAACCAGGAGCAGGTCTTGGGAGTGACCAAATCAGCAGCAACAGCAGTAGTGGCTCCTTCTGGAGCTGTCAGTGCACAGATGGTAAAGGGATCAAGCATCTGATCAGAAGGAGATTATAGGGGTCTCTTTGCTGGCACTGAGACAGGACTCTGTTGCTTTGCCCATTCTTGGATCTGGGTCGCAGTCCTGGGTGGCAGTCCTGGGGCAAGGAGGAACACTGGCATAGCCAAGCCTGTGGCAGCAGTAGAGAGGAGACCCTCCTCACAGTTCCAGGGCAGAAAAGAGTGTTTATGGTCACTCACAGGCCAGGAGAAGAGTAAACACCTCTCCTTAGATCATACCACCTTGGAAGAACTGAAAATTTACAGGTCCCTAGAAATATCTCTGAGAACAGCTGCACAAAACCCCTGAAGCTTGGGACAGTTTGCCCTCCACACTGGAAGCAGAGCCCTACCTTAACAAAGAGTTAAAGAGACAAGTAATAGACTGGAAAAATGAGCAAACAGCGGAGGGGGGAAAAAACTCTGACTGTAGAAACTTACTTTGGTGACGAGGAAGATCCAAACATGCACTCAGAAGAAGACAACAAAGTCAAAGCTCCTACGTCCAAAGCCTCCAAGAAAAATATGAATTGGTCTCAGGCCATGGAAGAGCTCAAAAAGAATTTTGAAAATCAAGTAAGAGAAATAGAGGAAAAATTGGGAAGAGAAATGAGAGTGATGCGAGAAAATCATAAATGAACAAGTCAACAGCTTGGTAAAGGAAATAGACCAGACCAAATGGCCAAAGAGGTCCAAAAAGCCAAAGAGGAGAACAGTGCCTTAGAAAGCAGAATTGGCCAAATGGAAAAGGAGGTCCAAAAGCTCACTAATTTCTTAAAAATTAGAATGGAGCAAATAGAAGCTAATGACTGTATAAGAAGTCAAGAAATTATAAAACAAAACCAAAAGAATGAAAAATAGAAGACAATGCAAAATATCTCATTGGAAAAACAACTAACCTGGAAAATAGATCTAGGAGAGAGAATTTTAAAATTATTGGACTACCAGACGGCCATGATTAAAAAAAAAAAAGACCCTAGACATCATCTTTCAAGAAATTATCAAGGAAAACTGCGCTGATATTTTGGAACCAGAGTGTAAAATAGAAATTGAAAGAATCCACCAATCTCCTTTTGAAAGAGATCCCAAAATGAAGACTCCCAGGAATATTATAGCCAAATTCCAGAGTTCCCAGGTCAAGTAAAAAATATTGCAAGCAGCCAGAAAGAAACAATTCAGATATTGTGGAACCACAATCAGGCTAGTACAAGATTTAGCAGCTTCTACATTAAAGGATCAGAGGGCTTAGAATATGATATTCCAGAGGGCAAAGGAACTAGTATTAAAACCAAGAATCACCTGCCCAGCAAAACTGGGGAAGAAATTGACATTCAGTGAGATAGAGGAATTTAATGCATTCTTGAAAAAAGACCAGAGCTAAATAGAAAATTTGACTTTTAAATACAGGACTCAAGAGAAGCATTGAAAGGGTGAACAGGAAGGAGAAATCATAAGGGACTTAATAAAGTTAAACTGTTTACATTCCTACATGGAAAGATGACATTTGCAACTCATAAGACCTTTCTCATTATTAGGGTAGCTAGAAGGAATATATGTAGACAGAGGGCACAGGTGTGATTTGCATATGAAGGGATGATATCTAAAAAATGAAATTAAGGATTGAGAGAGGAATATACTAGGAGAAAGAGAAGGGGAGAGGTAGAATGGGGTAAATCATCTCACATAGAAGAGACAAGAAAAAGCTTTTACAGTGAAGGGGAAGCGGGGGGAAGTGAGAGGGAATGAGTGAACTTTACTGTCATCAGAATTGGCTTAAACAGGCAATTGGGTATAGAAATCTATCTTACCCTACCGGAAAGTAGATGGGGGAGGGGATAAGGAAAAGGGGAGGTGGGTGAGATAGAAGACAAGGCAGATTGGGGGAGGGGGTAATCAGAAGCAAACACTTTTGAGGAGGGACAGGGTGAAAGGAGAGAATGTAATAAACAGGGCATAGAATAGGATGGCGGGAAATATCTTTTCTAAATTTCTTTTCTTTTGTATTCTAAAAGAATAATATTCTTTTCAGGGCAGCTAGGTGGTACAGTGGATAGAGCACCAGGCCTGGAATCAGGAAGACCTGAGTTCAAATCCAGCCTCAGACCAGACACTTGACACTTACTGGCTGTGTGACCTTGGGCAAGTCACTTAACCCCAATTGCCTCAAACCCACCCACCCCCCACCTCCCCCAGAAAAAATAATATTCTTTTAAAATATCTTTTTAAAAAGTCTTTCATAACATGACTGTTATGAAAGTGTTTTGCATGACTACACATGTATAACCTATATTGAATTACTTGCCTTCTCAATGAGTGGGGGGTGAGGAGGGAGGAAGGAAGAGAATTTGGAACTCAAAAATTTTTTTTAAAAATGTTTTAAAAGAATGTTTTTTTGCACATAGCTGGGGAAAAAGTACCAAATACAAAAAGTTAAAAAAAAAAAAGTAGTTCCTTGTATCCTTGTAGCTTGTCAAGGAGGCAGCTCTTCTTTGAGCTTTGCAGAAGAAAACATGAGAGAGAAGGAAGCTCTCCTCTCTAGTCAAAAGCTACACAGAAAGAAGTCCAGAACTCAACAGCAGTTGTGAGAAAGTTCACACCAGGGAAGAAGCCAATACAAGCCCTGGTAAACCAACATGCAGCCTGTGAGCACTGAAAAAGGATGAATGCCCAGGAATATATGATTAAACAGAAGAAAATATAAAACACAGTGAAGAAATAATCCCAAACAAAATGAGTAACACTGCAACAAGTAAAAGTAGAATTAAAGAGAAAAAATGTGGTTTGCCCAGAGAGATTACAAGAATGTCTGGAAGACATACAGCAAAAGATGAAAATTGAAATGAGAGCTCTGGAGGAGTTAAAAATGGAAGGAGAATTAAAAAAAACTTTGAACAGAAGGTGGAAAATCATACTCAAGTAATGGGCTCCTCAGTAAGCATTTATTAAGCACCAGCTATGTATCAGACACTGTGCTAAGTGCTACAAATACAAATAGTTATACAAAGAAAGGCAAAAGACAGTCGCTGCCCTCAAGAAGTCTAATTAGGGAGACAAGCAAACAAATATCTGCAAATAGTTTTATATACAGGGTAAATAAGAAATAATTAATAGAGGGAAGGCACTAGAATTAAGAAATTCTTAATTTGAGAAAGGCTTTCTGTAGAAGGTGGAGTTATGAATTAGTCCAGCCATTCATTCTGAAACGCATTTTTGGCACTATTCTCTAAAACTCATTAAATGGTATATACTCTTTGACCCAATGATATAACTACTAGGCAGAGTCCCAAAGAGATCGAAGATGGGTAAATGACCCATATGTACAAAAAATGTTTATAATTGCACTTTTTATTTTAGCAGAGAATTAAAAACAAAATGATTCCTCATCAGGGAGTGGTTGAACAAATTTTGGTATCTGAAACTAATGGAATTTTACTGTGATGTTTAAAAAAAAAATGAAGGGGATAGATTCAGGGAAACCTGGAAGGACTTGTATGAATTGATACAGAGTGATGTGAGGAGGACCAGGAGAATAATTGTTAAGAGTGGCTGCAACATTACAAAGTAAAAACTATGAAAGGCTTAAGAATTCTAATCAATGCAATAAGCAGTGATGAGTCTAGAAGACTAATCATGAATCATATTATCTATATTTTTACAGAGAAGTGATGAACTAAAGATGCAGAGTGATACATACATTCTGAGACAAGCCAACACATAGATTTGTTTTGTTTGACTATACTCATTTTGGAGGAAGGAGATTTACAGCAGAATTAGTGGGGTGGTTATAGAGATAACAGTAAAAAAGAAAGGACTATCAATGAAATGTTAAAAAAAAAAATACACAGAAGAAAAGAGAATGAAGTTCAGAAAGGAACACAGATAAACATGGCAGTGTTGGAACTGCCATGTTAAATACACCTTGACAAAACTAAAAAACAACCTTTTTTCTGTTCTTTGTATAAGGAAATGCTTGTGTTGGGTTTCGTCAAGGTCATTATGATAAAAATAATATAAGAGTTGTTTTTTGTTTTTTGTGGGAAGTATTGGGGGACCATGTACTAGTAACTAAGAGAATGAGGAAAGGCTGGAGGCAGGTTAAACAATTAAGAGGCTGTTACAGTAGTCCAGGTAAAAAGGTGAATAAAGAGAGAAGATGATGGATATGATATATTGTGAAGGTAGAACTGACAAGGTTTACCAAATGATTGGTTAAAGAGAAGTAAGAAGACAATGATAACAACTTTCAAACCTGGTCAACCAAAAGAATGCCGAAATAGGAGAGTTCAGAGGAGGGGTGGGTTTAAAGAAATATAATAATGAGTTCTGTTTTGGAAATGTTTGGTTTAAGATACCTATAGGATAGCCACTTCATAATGTTTGTTAGCCCCATATGCTTTGTGCTAATTAATAACAGCTTGTGATTGATTAATAACAGTCTTGAGTATGTTAAAAGCCTTGACTTGGCCCCATGTGAGTGTTGCTTAAGAAAGTTAAATTCTTGGGGCAGGTAGGTGGCGCAGTGGATAGAGCACCGACCCTGAACTCAGGAGGACCTGAGTTCAAATGTGGCCTCAGACCAAACACTTGACACTTACTAGCTGTGTGACCCTGGGCAAGTCACTTAACCCCAATTGCCTGGGGGAAAAAAAAGTTAAATTCTTAGCATAGCAAAGGGTCTCTTTGTGACCCTTTGTCAAGAAGGGTCTGTGTAATTTAGGTAGGGACAATTCAATTTATGTTCTTATATTTTTGCCCAGTCTTCAAATGGTCACCATCCACAAAGAATACCCTACCTTTTAGCCTACAAAATTCATACCAGAATACCTTTACAAGAGAGTCCTAACTACTGTGAGTAGCTGAGAAGCTACCCAAAACAAACTCCTTAGGCTTCAGAGGATGATCTGGCAAAAATTCCTTTGAACCTAATTGTTATCCAGTATAAATTATAATATATAATAGAAGTATAACTTTCTGTGTTATAGCTACTCAGTAATCACATTGAATACACTGTGTGCTATGAAAATGTTCATGTCCACAATTAAAATTTTCACAGTGTATTCAAAATGGTAACTGACTGTTCTCTGCCTGCTTTAGACAAATAAGGACACAGAGGATGAAGTGGAAATTGCCCGGTGTCAAAAAGGACAATATTTTGGAGAGCTCGCTCTTGTCACCAACAAACCCAGAGCAGCTTCTGCTTATGCAGTTGGCGATGTCAAATGCTTAGGTAAGGCATTTATTTTTATGCACTTTTTTTTTTTGTTTTTTTTTTTATCTTTTCTCAGGAGCTTCCTCTCATTTGTCTACTAACATTTAAGGCCAGAATTCAACATGGGATTCTATCATTTTGGTCTTCACAATTTCAGTCCTAAGAATGTGCCTAAGAATTTGCATTATATTATTACTCAAAGATGATCATGTACTCTTGGCAGGTGAATCACAATCTCCGTTAGATCTGCATTGTAGCTAAATCAGTACCTCGCTCCTCCATTGATCCTAGAGTGATCTGAGGCACCATGGGCACATGAATGCAGAACATAGTACAATGGAATGAACATTGCATTTTGCATCAGGGGACCAGGATTCAAATCCTGGCTCTCCTATTTAATACCTGCATGTGACCTTGGGAATATCACTTCTCTCTAGACTCCAATTTCCTTATCTGTATAATGAATATTAGATTAGACAATCTCCAAGGCCCTTTCCAACTCTAAACCTTGCTATAGTGATCTCTGCTATTTCCATGGTATTTAAGTTGTATCATACTTATTTTTCCCAAGTGTATAGTGTTACAAAAATTCTGTAAAACATGGATTTGAAATCCATTTAGCAAACATTTTTAAGTTCCTACTACATTTTAAGGCCATATTATGCTTCAAATTAAGACTACAAAGGTGAAAAACAACATGGCCCCTGCCTTCAAAGAGATTGCAGTATAATTGGAAGGGAGAGTTATTGAAAAGGGATCTGACATTACATTTTGTGTATGTGTGTGTATAACACAAAGTATAGTGTAATAGGAATAAAGGAGAGCCCCAGACAAATTGGTCTGAGAAAGTTTGAGAGATCACTTTCAGGAAATGTCATAGGAGAGGTGTGGCTAGGCCTCAGATTTTAATAACTAGAGATGAAGAATTGTGTTCCAGGGACTGAAATGTATAAGGAATGGTTTGCAGATATGCCATTATTTTAATCACTTATCCATTTGTTTCTCTCATGTTTTAAATGCAGTTATGGATGTCCAGGCATTTGAGAGGCTGCTTGGACCCTGCATGGACATTATGAAGAGGAATATTTCCAATTATGAAGAACAGCTGGTGAAAATGTTTGGTTCAAGCATGGACCTGAATGACCCAGGAATTTAGGCATAGCATCTCCCTTCTCCCCCGTGCCTTCTCAGTTTGACACAGAAACTCCTCCTGTCAACAACACAACATATAAGGAAAACAGACACTACAGAACAGTTCCTGCCGTTGCTGCTGCTGCTGTCTTGGGCATTTTAGAAAATGTGTCTCAGCATATTTGGATGGGTAGAGGCTCAATCTATGCCTCCACTTTGCTGCTGAAATTCCATTTATTAGACTTAATTTCATAATGTTTTTAACCCATTTTTCACACCTTTGGTTCAGAATGGCATGTCTCTCCAGCAATTTAAGTGCCTGATACAGAGTCCAAAGTGTAAAATCCTCTTTTTTTTTCTCTTGCTGCTGCTACTGCTATTGGCTATTCTTTTTTCTTTCTTTCTTTCTTTTTTTTTTTTAAAACAAACCTGTAGAAACTGGTTCTGTCCAGGTTCTGTCTTCCCAGGGAGAAAAGATTTACAGCCTCTGATCTCTTCCTTTGTCATTACTTCTGAGAATGTAAAAATCTGTTCTGAATTGTAGCTTTTAGATTTGAAATTTAAAATTACCTGGATATTTTTAAGTAACTCTCTTTAAAACATTATGGTACTGTGATGTTTGTGCTATCTACTGAAAGCTACACGTTACAGGTGATCCCAAGGCATTTGGATATTCTTTGAAGAGAGTACAATGCTGAAACATAGGTCATAGTCATAGGTCATTCATCAGTAAACTATGTGTTAAAGGAAGAAAGAAAGAGAAAAGGGAGGATCTGAGAGTTTGTTTTTTCAGCCTCCTATGGATGACAGAGCCAATTAAAAATAAAAGTTTCTCTCTACAGTTAGTACGACTAAATTGTCATCCATTTAGAACAAGGAGTCTGGAGATGTTATAGCTTTAACTTCTTAAAAAACTTCTCAATTAAGCTGCTGTCACCTTTTTGTTTCCAGTTGTCCACATCATCAGGTGGCAGTAATATTGCTGAGAAGTTGACCTGTTCCTCTGTAGGAGAGCCCTTTCTGTATTGCTCAGAGATATCTTATAGCTTAGCTGTTGAATGATCAGTTTTAAAATTCTTTTTAAAGAGGAAAAAGCTATTTTTTGTAACTTAAAAGTAAAAAATATTTCTGGACTCAAAGGAGTTCCCCTCACTTGCATTCTTTTAGAGTATTCTCTCACTCATCTAGACATTCCCAGATGTCAACTGTATTTGTTAGAGTTTTCAAAAAGTTGGGAACATTTACTATTTCAAGGAATTTTTTTTTTAAAACAAGGCTTTGTAATTGGGGAGTTCAGGATGTTTGGTGTTCTATTTGTCTTATTTAGGAGGTAATTTAAATTTGATGGAATACAACACCTCTTTAACTTTTAACATATATATATATCAAGTATAATTTTGAGTTCCCTTGATTGCTTGACATGCTTTGCAATAAGATTTTTTTCCATCAGAGTGATTGAGAATCTATCCTAAGGGGATCACAGAAGCAGCACCAAAATTACATAAAAATTATTAAATTTATAGCAAGGTAATAGTAGATCTAGAGGCTCTTCCCATTTTCCATTTTCTTTTGAGTTGTATGACTCACTGGGACCTGCCCAAGTGATTATGTATCTGGGGTTGTATAATTCTCATTGTGGATGATGATACTAGTAGAAGTGACCTAATTATTTACCTTTCATCACTGGTGAGCTAGTGCTCTGCCGTGGGCATATGGCCAGTATGGCTGACACCTCTGAAAAGCATGTCAGCATGTAGTTACCCCCCTATACACACACATACACGATGAACTTTCAGCCAGCAGCAATCCTTATTCATTCATCTTAAGGGGTTTTTTTGGTTAATTTTTTTTTTTTTGCTTTGGTTACATGAATTGGAAGCAGATTGAATCTTTTCTAAGGGCACTGTGTTAGCTCACAGCATAGTTCTCAGAATTGTGATCTGATTTATGATTTATGCTGGTGAAACAGGGATATAGCACTGTTCAAAGACATTTCATGTTTTGATGTTTTTCTGACTTCATTCTTTTCTGCAGTGTCTGTTTTGTATCAGATGAATCCAGAAAGCAACAGAAATGTCATTAATGTTTCCAAGGTTTTGCACCTTTTTTCTAATTTTTGGATCTTGAATTTTAAATGGCATGAACAGCAGTAGTTCTTTGCCACAGATAACTGGGATATTTGGCTATTTAAATAAATGAACTTGGTCTTTTAAAAGTAATAGAAGGTGCTGTAAAGAGAGTGTACATATATATATGTGTATATGTGTGTGTGTGTGTGTATATATATATATATATATATATATATATATATATATATATGTATTGTCAGAGCAGCCCTGACAAATTGATTTCCAAAATAAAAACAGAAATGAGGTGCTGTTTGTTAACCATGCATCTGTATCACTTAGGCTATCTAGCAAACTGCATGCTAGGGATAGATATGGATTATGTCAAGTAGTTTTAAGCCTTTCGTTCATAGATTAAATCTGTTCTATAAAGTCTCTTCCCAGTACCCCAGTCTTACTCACATAGTTGTGCCGTATGACTGTGGAACCCAATAGGTTTCAAGCCTTTTTCTGGGGTTCAGTTGTTCTAATTAAAAATGACATATGGCTCAGAAGACCGGATCCCTCTATTTTTATGGACAGTTGTGGGCCTATAGTTGAGCTTCAAGAGTGAATAAACAAGGATGTACATAACAGAGTACAGGGAAAGAATGGCAGCCACACTGGATTTTAAAGAACGTGAGGTTCTGAGGATGTACCTTTTGCAGTGGGGAAAAGTAAAGCTAAGCAACCCAGTTGTGTAGTTTTCTAAGTTATGCTGGTACATCAAAAGGACAGCGCCACTTTTATAGAGCTCCTTGGTATCTCCTATGTTCGGTGGGGGCTGCAAGCAACCAGTATGGAACAAAAGGAAGCTCCACCGTAGCCAGTTCTTTTAACCCCTTTATATTATACTCTCCCTTGGGAGAAGACTGATTCAAGCAGCCTTTCCAGGCCTTGCCATTTCCTTTGTACTGAGGGGAGAAGGGGCTTGATAACTTGGAAATATGGTTAGCAGTATTGATATGCATCTTCTGAGCCCAATTTTATTCCAATGACTTTGACTCTTCTTTTTAATCTCTGAAGGATGAATCTGTGTGGTTTTGTTTTCTGGATTGATGTTGCTCTGTGTTCTGTTTAAAAACAAAAAACAAAAAAAAAACTGCCATGGATCTTCAGAGATGATTGTGAAGAGAGCTCTGCAGTTGAGCATATTAATAATAGAACTCAGCAGCAAACTGGACAAGAGACCGTGTCCTTGAGGCTAAGAGAAACAATTTGTCCTGCTGATGCTCAGCTTGTGATTTTTGTGAAGTGAGTGAAGAAGAACTTTTCTAGGTCAGCAGCATCCTGGCTTATGATTTTTCTGTTTGATGTGCCAGCCCAGGGTTTTCGTAATGTATAAAAAGAAAAAAAAAGAATCCTGTCTCTTTTTTTTTTTAAAGTGCATTCTGCCCTGAGAAAAAGGGGAAAAAAAAACCCTTTGAAGTAACATCCTTCATGCTTTGTTTTCAGTTAGTTGATGTTGTAATTTTTCTTCTTAAATTGTATTTGTAACCAACCTTGCCAAAATATAAATTGTTTTGGTTTTTTTCACTCCACTTACCTATTGTTGTTCTTGCAGTTCTTACTGCTAATGGTCTTCAGTCAAGTCAATCATCTGTTGTACAGTCAGAGACCTTCCTGTTCGTTTTAATACTCTACAGGACTGTGTCTGTACTATAAAGATAGAAGAGGAAAGTTTCACTAACCTCATGGGAGACTTCCTGAAATCCATTTAGCCTGATTTTGGCTAAAAATGGATAACTAGGGTTTCTTCCTCCATTCACAGTAACAAAAAAAAAATCTAATTCAGCATAATTATGCTACCTCAAGGCTAAAAGTGCTTTAAGGGTATTTCACCTGAGTTTTAAACATTACATCAGAAATGTCTCATTGGATCTGTGAGATTCCCCACCCGAAGTAACTTAAAGGAGGGACCCTTTATTTTGGCCCATTTTAAACTAGTATTTGACTCTAAAAAGAAAGAGTTGTTCTATAGTATTCAGTCTATAAGTGACCATTTTTAAAGAGCCACCATCTACCACAAACAAGCTTTGGGTTTTAAAAGGGAAAGAACTCACCATCTCGGGTTTGCTTCATCTTTGATTAATAAATGCTGACATGTTGTGTCAAACTTGTGTTTGGTATTTTGTTCTCTGGACCTCTTTTTCCTCATCTGTAAAACAGGGAAGTTAGACTACATTAAGGGTGCTTAACCTCGCGTCCATGAACTTTGAAACATATTTTGGTAACTATTTCAACATAATTGGTTTCTTCTATAGTACCATGTATTTTATACATGTAGAAACGTTTTTCTAAGAAGGCTTCACCAGATTTCCAAAGGTATCCCTGACACCAAAAAGATTAAGACCCTTGCACTAGATCATCTCCTTGGTGACTTCCAACCCCTTTAAAGTTGGAATCCTTTTATTTCATAATGAATTACTTGCAAGATTTCATCTCCACAGAGGCTAGAACTCCTGAAAGGTAATTTACTCATTTGTGGGGGGAGGGAGGATGGAGTAATGCTTTGTTAATGGTATTATAATCACTGATAATCTCTGTGCACGAATGGCGTGGCTCTTAGTCTCATTATAATCTTGGACCTCTAAGTCCAACAGAAAACATGGATGATTTCATTAAGAAAGCTCCAGTCACTCATCTTCGTTGTGATGACTTTTCCGGTTTGCTATAAGACCTCACTTTATAATTTGGCCATATTAACAGATCAAGAGACCTGGTTTTGTTTGTTTTGTTTTGTTTTAGGCAATTGGGGTTAAGTGACATGCCCAGGGTCACACAGCTAGTAAGTGTCAAGTGTTTGGTCCCAGGCCGGATTTGAACTCAGGTCCTCCTGACTTCAGGGTCAGTGCTCTATCCACTGCGCCACCTAGCTGCCCCAAGAGGCCTGGTTTTGAATTGTTGTTACTATACTTACTATCAGTATGGCCGTGGACTAGTCACCTCCCCTTTCTGAGCCCTGATTTCCTCTGTAAAAATAAGTTGGTTGGACTAAACTGTCTCCAAGATCCTTTCCAGTTCCACCATATTTCATGACTTCAACAACTGCTCTAAACTAAGTACTATACTGGAGCTGATAGCAATCAGTATGATGATAACTAACATGCATTTAGAGATTCACTTTACTGTTAGGATTCAGATACTAGCTATGTGACCATGTCATAGTCACATTCCTTCTGAGCCTTAATTTCCTCTGTAAAAATGATTAAATAATTACAGTGAATTACAGAGTTAGAATGATATTACAGAAAAAGCCCTAGATTTGGAAACAGAAACCTAGCCCATTGTGATCTCAGGCAAGTCCCTTTCCTTCTTTGGGCCTCAACTTCCTCCATAAAATGAAGACAATAGGCTAAATCAGCTATAAAGCTCTTTATCCAAGCCCTAAGTCCTATGATCTATGATCCAGTAAAAAATATAATTGACTTATTTCTGTACTACTCATTATTAAAAGACTAAACAAAGTTAGTTCTGTAGTAGACCATTTTCCAGAGGCCTTATCATTCAGGCAGAAATGAAAGTTTTTTGGGTTCACCAGGAGAAACTTGGTCCTGAATCCTGTCATATTCACATTCCTTGGGCTAGGTTGGTTTTGAGGCTTCCAAATAAAAATGGTTGTTTCAATTTGCTACCAATTTTCTTTGCCACTTCTGCAAGGACTGTCCAGATGCCCTTCTCTCTGATATGAAGTAATAACAAACTGAAAGATACATCAGTCAGCAATTCATCCTTCCCTCAGAGAAATTGTTACTTCAAGCATTATCTTTTCATGTTGAAACAAGAAAATAGAAATTATTCCTCTTCACCTGAATATACAATCAACAATGTTTCAGCAAATCTAAACTTGTGCCATCAAGGAATCATAGCTAAAAACCAAAAATGTGTTTAGCAAGATTATTTAGTTAAGTCAGGGGTGGGGAACCTCCGGCCTCGAGGCCACAAATGGCCTTCTAGGTCCTTGGGTGTGGCCTCTTGCTGAATCCAAGTTTTACAGAACAAATCCTTTTATTAAGGGGATTTGTGCTATGAAGTTCGGATTCAGTCAAACGGCCACACTGAGGGCTACACATAGCCTCAAGGCTGTCTTTTCCACACACTCTCTTCCTTGTAGAGATCATTAAGTTAATGTTATAATCGGGAGTCATACACACATCCAGAGGGTTAGGGACACATACAGATATGAGTTGTGAGCTCTGGTTTCTCAGTAGCAGTGCACTTCAGAGGGCTTCTAGTTCAACCTGCATCTGAACACTAAGAATTCCCATATAATATATTGAAGATGTGGTCCCTAAACTTTTGTTAGAGGACCAATGAGGGTGCATCCACTACCACCAGAGACAGTCCATTTCTAATTGTTAGATTGTTACAATCTAAATGTGCTCCTTTGCAGATTTCCACTCATTACTCCTAGTTCTTCACCCTGGAGCCAGGCAGAACAAGAAAGACTTCTACCAGGTCTTTCAAATACTTGAAGACAACTATAATCCCCCACACCCACGTCTTCTCTAGGGGGGAAAAAACATTCCTAGTTACTCTGACTTAAAGGCATGAATTCAAGGCCCTTTACCATAATGATCCCCCTCCTGGGGTGGCTTTTCAAGTTTGTTGATGCCCTTCCTTAAATGTGGTACCCAGAACTGAATATAGTAATCTACATGTGGTCTGACCAGGGCAAAGTACAGGATCCATGTGCCAGGATTTAACCCGAGAAAGATAAGATTGTCATGTGATGGATGCTATCCACCAAAGTAATTTTGTGCATTTTCCATCCAAGATAGACCTCTATAGAAATTAATTGAGCATATTTCCCTTCATTTCCTGGAGTCTGAGAGTGAAAGCTTGGGGCAGAGCAAGGCAAGGCAGGAACAACAACCATTTATTAAATGCTGACATATGTGCCAGGTGCTGTACTAAGTGCTGGGGTAAAAAGAAAGCCCCTCCTCTTAAGGAGCCTACATTTCTAATAGGAAATCAATATATAACTGAGCTGAGAAGCAAGAGCTAAGGTGGGGGAGAGGGGATGGTGGTGAAGTCAGGAGGATCAGAAGCACTGTTGGGAGAGGAACAAAGCATGACAAGCCTGGCCCATCCTAGGAAAAGCTCACTAATGGGGCTAGATGACCAGCTTGGCAGAAGGATGTTCCCAGATGAGAAGGTTCCAGATAGTGAAGTTCAAGAGTGAGAAGGCAGTTGAGTCATGATGACCAACTATGGAGAATCAGAAACACCCGGTAGGGGAAGGGAATAAATGGAAATGCTCCATAATTACCCTTAAGCAGTTCAGAGTCTAAGTGCGACGGTGAGATGGGAATACACTGAAAAGAATAAAAAAAAATACACTGTTAAAGTGAATCAAGCACAACTATTCCGAGAGGTTTTAAATATCTACTCTCCAGTGATGGTATTCAGTTTGCCAAAGGAACAGCATTGTCTAGAAATCTATTATAGAAGAGGGCTACCAACCATGCCCCGCCCCCATCAAAGTTAGAAAAACAAAAAGGAAACAAGCTTACTGTATGGTAAACAGCTATTCCCAGCTAATCTCCTGTAGAGATGTAGGGACAGCTTTTGCTTCCAATTAATCTTCAGCTAACACCTGGAGTCTGGTGTTCATGGAAGAGTCTCTGATAGCTTTAACATCACCTCATGGTGCCTCTGAGGCCAGGGCCCCACAGTCAGCTACACCCTCAACCTCTTCTGATGTGCCTCTTATAAAGCAGTCAACTGCCTTTGGTTTAAATGCTCTGCTATAGCAGGAGCTCTCAAAATTCAAATTTACCAGGTTACCCCCAAGGCTAAATAGGTCCATCTTGTTATCTATATTCAAAGAATAAAACAAAAAGAAAGATTCATAAAGGAACTTGAGATCCAGTATCAGGTTTGCCTGAATAGCATGTAAGTCGATTACAATGTGCAAAAGGCCACCATAGCTGCCTTGGGGAGGACTCCCTCATTCCCAAGAAAGCCACAGAGGAGTTCCATACCACACATTCAGAAGAAAGAAGAAGAAATCAAATTGCTCTTCCTCTCTAATGAGAGGATAATTCTTCCTGGCTCATTAGCTAATCCTCTGATGCAGCCTCCTTCCTCTGCTGCTATCAAAGGGACCAAGGCATTACTAGCGTCCCAGAGTCCTTCAGCTCTAAGCACACGTGTCTTTAGAAGCAGCCAAGGTGATCTTAGCTTAGCTTCATATACGCTCTAATGTGGTTCAATCATTTTTCGGTTGTTTCCAACTCTTTGTGACTCCATTTTGGAGTTTTCTTGGCAAAGACACTGAAGTGGTTTGCCATTTCCTTCTCCAGTTCATTTTACAGATGAGGAAACTGAGTCAAGTAGGGTTAAGTGACTTGCCCGGGGTCACACAGCTAGTAAGTATCTGGGGTCAGATTTGAACTCAGGTCCTCCTGACTCCAAGCCCCATGTTCTATCACCTGTGTTGTCTAGCTGCCCCATGCTCTAATGGGGTATGCTCTTCTTTCCTTATACCACATTAGTATAAACTTGAAATCTCAGTTCCTTTTCTGCATGTACTTTCCTTGGGAGACAGAACATTCAGAATAAGAGAGGAATCTGGTTTCCCAGATTTCCAGGGATAGAAATGCCCAAAAAGCCAGGCTCATGACCAAAAAACCTAAGGTCATCTAGACTACAGAGCAAAAGACATGGTTTTCCAAGAGACCTTGTACATATGGCACGAAGTCAGTTGTTCAGTCATTTTAGTCATGTCCAACTCTTCATGACCCCATTTAGGGTTTTCTTAGCAAAGATACAGGAGTGGTTTGCCATTTCCTTCTCCAGTTCATTCTACAGATGAGGAAACTGAGCCAAACAGGGTTAAGTAACTCATCCAAGGTTACACATCTATTAAGTGTCCAAGGCCAGATTTGAACTTGGGTCTTCCTGACTCCAGGGCCGTTGCTCTATCCACTATACCACTTAGCTGCCCCAATGAACACAATATTTGATTCTAAACACACTAGCAGGCAGGTAACAAGCATTTATTAAGTTCTTAGTATGTGCTAAGTGCTAGGGATACAAATACAAGGAAAAAGACAGTCCCTGGCCTCAAGTTTACATTCTAAAGGGGGGAGATAACATATAAAAGGGAGC